CCTCAGTTCCCCCAATTTCTGTAAAATGGTAATCTTTCCCCCCCAGTTTTATTGAGATGTAATTGACATACAACATTGTATTAGTTTAAGGTGTGCAACATAATGATTTGATATAGGTATATATTGTGAAATGACAACCACAATAGGTTTAGTTATCCATCACCTCATATAATTACAAACTTTTTTTCTTGTGATGAGAAAGTTTAAGATCTACTTTCTTAGCAACTCGCAAATAAACAATACAATCTTGTTAACTATGTCAACCTGCTGTATATTACATCCCCAGCACTTATTTTTCTTGTAACTGGAAGTTTGTACCTTTTGACCCCCTTCACCCATTTTCCCAACCCACCCCCCACCTCTGGCAACCACCAATCTGTTCTCTGTTTCTATGAGTCTAGTGTTTTTAGATTCCACACGTGAGATCATACAGTATTTGTCTTTCTCTGTCTGACTTATTTCACTTAGCATCATGCGCTCAAGGTCCGTCCACATTGTTGCACATTTCCTTCTTTTTTTTACAGTTAATGTAAAGTGGTCATCTTAAAGACTTTTCCAGCCCAGGCTTCTGTGATTGGCCTCAAAAGACTTCCCAGCCTCCCCCTTCCTCCCCCACCCCCATGGAGTAGGTCTCAGGGAAGGGACCTACCTACCGCATAGAGGTGCCCCAGGGGACACTGGGCAGTTGGGAGGGAAGGAGAAATCACTGCATGAATTCAGTTGAGTACGCACATTTAGCCTTTACCTGCCGGCTGTGCTAGGCCCCCTCAGATGAAGGGCAGAGAAAAGTCTAGTAACTTGCCCAGGATCACCAGCTTTGAACCCCGGGCCGGTCTGTCTCTGTTGTCGTGCAGCCCATCAAAAAGAGTCTCCCCAGGGGTCGGCCTGGTGGCGCAAGCGGTTAAGTGCGTGCACCCCGATGCGGCGGCCCAGGGTTCGCCGGTTCGGATCCCGGGTGTGCACCGAAGCACCACTTGTCAAGCCATGCTGTGGCGGCATCCCATATAAAGTGGAGGAAGATGGGCATGGATGTTAGCCCAGGGCCAGTCTTCCTCAGCAAAAAGAGGAGGATTGGCAGATGTTAGCTCAGGGCCGATCTTCCTCACCAAAAAAAAAAAAAAAGAGTCTCCCCAGTGCCGAGTCTGTTCTCCAGTCTCCTATTGAACACCTGCTGTGTCCTGGGTCCTGTGCTGGGCACTGCCACGTATTGATTGATGCGCCCCAGGCGCTGCTCTTGGTGAAGAGATGGCCAGACAAGGTGAGATCAGTCTGGGCGCTGGGGTGGGAGAGCCTGGGTTCACCATGCACCCACGTTTACAGTCTAGCAGGAGAGAGAAATCAAGGCTCCAATTCCTGGGGTGCAATCAGAGGCTGCCAAAGGGGAACAGAGAAGATGCCAGGGCCGGGGGCACCCCTGAAGGAGGGAATGAAAACGTAGATCCCGCCTCTGTGCGCTTTGAGGCTGGTTTGGGGAAGACATAACAACACAGGATTACCACCAATAAAAGGAAAACCTAAGTCTTGACAATGACCTGTGAGCCTTCTGCTCTGTCCCCCACACTCTGACCTCATCTCTGTCCTATTCCACTTCTCATCCTCACTGTTCTTGGAACATTCCAGCCCACTCCTGCTGACTAAGGACATTTCTGTTCTTGGAGTGGAAGCTGACACCAAACAGGTAAAGAAAGTGAGAAATGGGGAAATGTCTGATGGAGGGAAGGGCTGTAAAGAAAATAGCACAGAGCACCTCTCGGGGGTGCATGGGAACTGTGCCGGGGGAGCTTGCCCTGTGTGGATACTCCTGTCCCAAGGGAGGTGACATTTGATCGGAGACTTGCATGGCTAAAAGGAGCCCTGCATGCCAGGAGCTGAGGGACAAGCATTTCAGGCAGAGCGAACAGGCTGAGCAAAGACCCTCAGGTGGAAAAAGCTGACCAGTTCCAGAAGTGGAATGAGGCCAATGAGTGAGGGGGGCAGAGGAAGGAGAGGGGCCAGGGCAGCTGGCAGGGTCTGGGGGCAGTTTGCATTTTATTCCAGTTTGGTGGGAAACTTTTGGAGAGTTTTAACTGTTTTTAAGGCGATCCCTCTGGCTGCAGAGTGGACTGTGGTCCAGAGCCCTGTGGGTGGGCAGGTTAGTGGCTTGGACTAGGGGGTCGGAGGTGGTGGGATGAGGACTGGTTTGAGACATGGGGACATGATTTGCTACGGAACAGGAAGAGGACTGACCGCCCTGTGCCCATTTCACAAATGGAGAAATTGCAGCTCAGAGGCAGTCCCTGGGTAGGGGGATTGTCAGGCCCATTTTCCAGAAGTAGAAATTGAGAGGGAAAGGAATTTGTCCAAGGAGACATAACTAAGGTCAAATGTAGGTCCCTAGGGCACTTTCTCTGCTCGTAGACAGTCTCCCTCTCTAGGTGTGGCTGGGATGACTCACCACCTGCCTTTTGCAGACAAGGAGATTGAGGCTCAGAAGAACAGCACCCATACGAGTGAGCCTGCAATAGGACCAGGGCCCCTGGTGGAGTCTGGACCCTCTCTCCCGGCTGCCGTCCCTGCCTTCCTGGTGTGGCTGTAGAGATAAGATGAATGTAGCAGAACCGACAAGAGGACAATAATGGAGGTGAATGCTTAATTGCACATTTCCACCCTGGGTGCTGTGGGTGCCCAGGGACAGGAGACTGATGAGGAGGCTCTGCTTTGCAGGGAGGCAGATACGTCCCCATCTCCCTCCCACCCGGCTCTATACCCACTGTGGGCGAGTGTGTGTGTGACTGTGTGTGTCTGTGAGTGTGTGTAACTGTGCATGTGAATATGTGTGTGTGGTGCCCAGGCGAACTGCAGCTTCCCCAGGAGTGGCGGGCACCCAGGGGAACCCAGCTACCCCCTGCTCAGACCCAGTGTGCCCTGACTTCTCTGTCCACTGGTCCTCAGGCTCCTTGGTTTTGGAGCCTTATCTCCCAGCCTGTTTAGGCTTCTGGATGCGAAAATAATTAACCACAGGCGCATTTTCCAAGGTTTCATCCCGTTCTCCTGGCCAAGTTAAAAATATTCACAATGAGCAGGGCTGCTGCTGGGAGGTGTGCAAGAGGCTGATGGCACCGGGGCCACAGAGAGGATGGGGTGTGTTGGGAGGGAGGCCTGGTGTATAGCTGGGCACAGAGCCTGGCCAGGAGAAAGAGGGGCCAGGGGCTGGGCTCTGGCCTTGTCCCACTGCCCCCTCCCTGTGTGAATTTGGGCTAGTTCCTTGCCTTATTGGGCCTCTGCTTCCTCCTCTGTGAATTGAGGAATTTACACTAGAAGTCAGTACTTCCAAAGCATTTCCCCTGGATATAAACAGGTGATCCCCCAAACAAAAACAAACAAAAAGTAATAAAAAACGTCTGTGGTTCATTAAGCTTGTAAATGACACGGGGATATACAAAGTTAAACCAATTTCTTTCATGCAGAGCTGTTCAGAGTCCCTATTCGTTGGAAACTTTTATTTCTTTGGATAAGTAACACAAGTACATGTGGCATTTAATTCAGACAGTGTGGAAGGAGTTTGGGGCGTTCACAACTCTTTCCTGCGCCTGCTCTGCCCCCCTCCGATCCTTGCTCTCAGCAGGCACCGCTGGCAGTTTCTAATGCATGGAGAGATGGTATCGCCCATACCAGCAGATGCGGGTATAGACTTTATCATGGTAAGTGACCACGAGTTTCCCAAGGTGTGTGTGGGGGGGCGGGTTAGGGATGCAGCGTTTCTTAGATTTACTTAAGTTTGGCCACAGAACCACTCCCAAGCATTTCTGGGTCAAGCATCTGGAGGCACACCCTTTGGGAAACATGTGGTCCCTGGTCCCCATGTTCTCCAGTGAGACCTTATATGGGAGGAGACTTAGCAGTGGTGCCCGGAGAGTTCAAACTCCATCTCTGAGAAGGCGGCCCTGACTTCTGTACTTTGCTGCCCACCCAGGGGCTGCCCTGAGGCTCAAGGGAAGGTGCCAGAGCTGACAGTGTATCTGTGGACACTGAGGCCTGAGAGGGCAAGCCTTGCCCAGGTCAGGAGCCGGTCAGAGGCTCAGCAGGGATCAGGATCCGAGGCTCCCAGGCAGTGTTCCCACCCTGAGGGCCCCAGTGGCCCCAGAGCTGAGCAGGGCCACGGAAGGGCTTTGGACATGGATAGATTGGAGAGGCCTGTGGGAGCTGTCTGAAACGGGGGCCTCGTCCCACACTTCACTGCCATTCCCTGGGAGACGGAGCAGATAGCATCGTGCCCAGGTCTGTGGCATACGCACAGGGTTGGTGTGATGTGTAGGTTACGTGGGCCCATGGTGCTGTGGGGGCTCTGTATGAGAGCCCTGTGGGTTGGTGTGACGCCGTGTGCCGGGGTGACGTGTGCGCGGCGTGGCGGCTGTGCGGGTTGCGTGCAAGGCCCGCGCCGGGTGGGCGCGGGGATCCCGGCACGGGGGCGTGTCGTGGGCGTGGGGAGCGACGCGGCGCGGCCGGGGGAAG